CTCGATGTCCTTTTCCCTTTCCCTTTCAATTTTGGGCAATGTTGGCCCCGAAATCGGACAAATCCACCAGAAAACCATGACTAAACAATATTAGAAGGGAGAAAACCATGGCAGTGTGACTCAAGTAAGGTGTCCTTGAATGTAGTTTACCAGGAGACTAGATAAATATATTTTACACAGAAAAAAGAAGAGAGGATTGAATGAAATAGTGTAAAATAGATCAATGCCAAACAACAGAAAAGTAGCTATAAACTTCCCACGATAGAACTGAAGTATGTTTAGTATATACACACTCAGTGAACTTGGTAATTCAAGCAATATGATTGGTTAGCTATCTCGGACCATGACGTTTTAGTAAAATCCAGCTAGTGGTCTATTATCAATGCTGCATTCTGATTGGTTGAGCTACTACTAGGTTATATGTTATAGCCCCCTAGTAGCGAAAAGCGCGGGCTTTTTGGCCCAGCCTCTGAGTCAATAGCCCATGAGGCACTTCGGCCTCATGGGCTATTGACTCAGAGCCCAGAGCCCATTCGGGCTCGAGGAATAATTGTTAAATATTCACCGCGCTAGGAGGTGAATATAAAGCAGGACAAAATCGCTGTCGTGAACTGGGTGTTTTTGTTTTGGGACGGGATTCAAAATGGCTTCTCGTTTCGCGACAGTTTCGAAAAATGAAATTTTAACAGTAAATGAAGCAGCTGCATCAACAAATACCAAGAGAGAGGCAAAATTTGGCTTGTCGGTGTTTGCTGGTCGGTAGAAAAAATTTTCTTACTGAATTTGCAACAAAATCATGAAAAATGATCCAGGAAACACTGTCAAGTGAAACGTAAACAAACTCTAAGTGACGTCTTTATTTACAAAAAGTTCCTTTTTGATTTTTATCCACTGATTTGGTAAATGCTAAAACAACTATCCCCCTCAGGGTCGGTTCATAGCGCTAGATATGTACCTCGACGCTTCGCGTCTCGGTATACCATCACCATTCACCTCCCCTTCGCGGGATAGTTGTATAATATCAAACATAACGGAAAGAAACATTGTAAATAATGATAGAGCAGAACCACTGCATAGATCACATAATAAACTATATATTTATTGCAAAATATCACTTTATAACATTTTTTTTATTTTGTGGTCAAAGGATATCTTTGTTCTTTGTTAGGTCGGGTGGAAATTCCCACCTTCATTTTTTTTTCTTATCTACAATTGTTTCTTGCTTTCATTCATAGTAGCAGTACCTCAAATGCATTTGTCTTCTTGGACAGCTAGAATCATTGCACTCCAAAAAGTCTACACTTTTTAATAGCAATCCTCATATGAACTTTGCCCAGGTTATGAGTTTTATTCTATGTACAAGTATAAACCTTTCACTCCCAGAGGGTCTACTATCAAATTCCTAATTTCATTTCATAATGACAAACAAATAGTACCACGTGTTTTCTCAATACCACAAGTCTAATTCTCTAAAAGAGTTACAAAATACGTCACCTCTACAAGCAAAAGTAGCGCAATTATTTCTAAGAAAATTTCCGTCCGAAATGCCAAGATATTTCATGTGGAAAACTATGAAGCAACGTCGAATTTCAAAAAGAATAATGGCTTATTAACACTTCTTCAACCCTTTTTTCTAAACATTTTTGGTCGGGCTTGTATTTTCTTTTAGCTAGTCTAACATACAAGTAGCTAAAACAGCTTAACAAGGTCGTTCAACGTCTAAAGTAATTTCTTAGCGTGATTCCTATACTACGTTAATTCAAATGTAGAAGAAACAAAATAGGGCTATTTATACGTGGAAAAATACGTAGCGTCCTAAATAAGACGCAAACTGTGCCGTATAAAAGGCACATTTCGAAGCTACATTTTTGAAGTTAGACGCGATTTTGCTAAGACACATCTTGCGTAAGAACAGCACTTAACACCCATTCTTCGATAAGACGCGTCTTAGCTAAGTCGCGTCTTATTCAGAGGAATTGCTTCCTATTTAGGACGCGTCTTATTTTTCTCCGTATAAACGGCCCTAATATTTACAGTCATATCAGCAAAGAACTGCCTGTTTAAATGGTCATATCTAGAAAAAGAATGTTAGTACCATATAATAATGTCTTCAAATTAACTCTGGGAGTGTCAGGATTACGCAAATTTTCTCAAAATTTGTTAAATCTCTTTGTTAGCAATTTACAGTCAAAGCGAAAATTATCTTTTAAGCTATTTTATGGAATTAAGACTACACGCGAAGGATCTTTGACACCAAAGATTTGTGAGAAAGCAGACATGGGACTACGAAGGGACGCACATTGCACATCAATGATATTTAAACGAATTTGTCTTTCCAATGGACATCTAATCAACATGAGTCTAATGATGGTATTGGTCAATAAGACTACTATTGGCATCATATTCCAAACATATGTAACATATGACACATCATGCACCTGTCATGAAGTAATTCTAGATTTCCTATTTTCGTACCCACCAGAAAACTTACTTGGAAATACGACGAAAATTATAATCAACGATAAAAATATATTAATAAATATAAAAATAAACTAGTATTATTCTAGTAGGGAAAAAATTATTCCATTTCATACGGAAAATAAAAAGGGTAAACTAGTGGCTTGTTACCACACTATTTCACTGGGTTTGCACCAAACTCTCTTTGTGTTTCTAACTCCTGACAAAGTACAACAAAAACACTTGCGCACGTTAAGCGTACATTGATGGCTTGGATTTTTGTCTTTCTTCTTAATCACTGATCCCTCTCCACTTAGCATGAGTTCCTTCCCATAATTCTCTAGTTGTCTTCCTGTCACGAACACCGGGGGGATGGGGGGTGAGGTTTTCCGCAAGATGTCGATCGCAAAGTCATTACACGAGCTTTTCCGTTCTGCTAGACAGGGCACAATTTTCTTGTAGAAACTGATGCTCCCTTTGTCGTAAAGTTTCTGTAACAGCAACAAGCTTCTTTAACGCCGGCTGAAACAGAAAAACGACGCATTCAATTCCCCTAAAGAAAAAAACACTGTATTCTCTGTACCATACACGGACACAAAAATATGCATCCCTGCTGAAACTGTCTTTTTTTATAGTTAAAGGGGCTGTGTCACGAAATTCAGCCAAATCAGGTTATTGCAAAATGCCCGTTAAATTAAAGTTAACTTTAAAATAACCACTTAAAACATTAAGGGAAGGTTAAAATAACACAAAGATACAACAGCTGCCTCGGATTGGCAAAACTGAAGAAGATTGAAAAGGATTGAAATCAGGGTTTTTGAAAACTGTTCAGCCTAACAATTTTTCAAAGTTTATCTCTGCTGTTTGCAGCTTCAAAAATAATGTTTAAGGGACATATTTGTTTGTCTCTAATCTCTGATTTTGTTATTTACACGTAATTTCTTTGCCTACTTTAAGTTCCATAGCGACTGAGGGCGATTAATTGGCAAAATAAAACAAAATGAACTGGACTGCCGTGACACAGCCCTTTTAAGTGAATCGATTTGCACGGAATGCACTATGGGAAAAAACAAACAATCCATAAATTGAGACAGAACGAAGTGTGGGAACAACCTAAGAGAACCCGCGACTGTATATATATTCTATTGTAGTTTCTAAACACACAAATTCTACCAACAAAAACTACCAATACGTTTTTTCTCGCAAGGCTTAATGCCAGCTGTGTTACCTGGGACTGACTCAGCTGTTGAAGTTCGGATTCGTACGTCAAACAAATGTCATGAAGAGCAGCAAGGTCACGTGACAGATCTGATGACACTTGCTCAGTGATTTGTGGGCACTGTGTTACGTTCTGTGAAAAAAAAAGAAAAAGAAAAAGTTACCTCCATAATGCAATGGACAGTAGTTTTAACCCTGGATTGTCTTTTTGTAGCTCAGTAGCAAGAGTGCCCGACAGACGTCTAGAATGTCACGGGTTCATATCACATTCGGGGATCAGATTTATTCATTGATGAAGACTTACTCTTTTTCATTCTTATTTGATGTTCTATATATAACAAAACCTAGGAAGCTTCTTTGATCATTTTCGCATTTTCCGCAGTGAACTGCAACGAGAATTTTTGCGCATGCAAAAGCCTCGACTAAAGGCTACTTCCGGTTCACTGTCGACAATAAGACTATTGTACACTCACAACCATCGTATCTTAAATGTGTCTTTGACACAAACGAACAAAAAACCGGCACACATGTTGCCTTGCACTTACCGATAACTCATCCAGAAAGTTTATCATTTTTTCCCTGTTCTTTAGGATAAAGGGATTCACTGGTGTCATAAAGGATTCCTATCATAAAACAAAGAGGACACAATTACGTTTTCAACAATAACAAAAGCAGAGCCAAAATCTAGTTGCAATACCTACCTTAGCACCAAATTCGACTAAGTTCGCTAAGTTCTGAAGACACTTCGCTACAAGTGTAAGCGTTCGAGCGGCACATGATGATGGAGACTCTGGGAGAGAAAGAGTGAATCACCAGTTAGTTACAGCATGGTTTATAGACTGGAATGGTTATGAAGCTCCTTAGACTCTTTTGTTATGTTTTTGTGGACCTGACAGTGCACAACGCTCAATAGTGTTCCTATTATTTTGACCTTACTGACCAATAATCTTAAAGTCGCGTTAATTCATTCCGTCACAATTGTGAACAAAAAACAAAGGATTATGCACTTTTAGGGAGCTTCCAACATAAACTGCAGCACCGTTGTTTTAATCTTTGATGTTTTCTGTCCTTCATAACCAGTCTCCTCAACTAAATATGGTTACAGTAGGTCAAAGTCACTAAGCCGCATTTCTGCAAAATGACATCATGCAATGTGCCATTTAAGACAAGAAAAGACTTTAGACCTGTTTTACCCACAGCCTTTTCGAAAAGTATCACTTGTTGTTAAATTAACCACCATTGTTTTATTTTTTTCTTAAGAAAACACACTTGGAATTAATATCTTCGAGTTTATAAGAAGCCGTTAATAATGAAAGCGTTAAGACGCTGGCCCAGCTACGAGGTATTCCTTGGACTGCTGTCACCCAAAACAACTCTTCACTGTAACGCAGAGGCTTTCAAGGCATCTCTAACTCGCAATAAGAACGAAACTATGGGTTTTAAGTTCGGGCGGAATGAATGTGGTCGTGAGACGGGGCTCCGCTATAATTTTCCGCTTCACCACGAGAACGAAACTGGGTCCAGTTTATGTTCACGAAGACTTCTGGGATGGTTACTGGGGACGCGCCGGTCAGCTTTTAGCTAATTTTGTTACTTGTCCTAAGTAACTCTCCCAGAAGTCTTAGCGAAAGTTAAGTCAGTCGTTTCTAAAGTGGTGAATAACAATTGTCAGGCACTAGAATAAGTTTACACAGTTAACACCTCTGTGCAACTTAATTTTCAGAGTTGCCAAACTAAAGAGGGTTGTTCAACTCGTCCAGCAAGTAAGAAAGTCCTGAAATATATAAATGGATATAGTGTATTTTTGAATACGACTATTTTTAATTGACCAAAATAAACAGTGTTAAAAACAACTCACCTGACATCATGTTACATGTCTTTGGGTTCATTATCGCAGGACAAATTAACCGCAAGAAAAGGAAACCGCTATAACGAAAGAGAAATAAACGGAGAAAACGCAAAAACCATTAAAATCGTCCTACACTACCCACTTGCACTTCCTTCAAACATTTTACGATCCTAAAAGTTCTTCCGAAAACTTTTCCTACCAAAAAGTAGCCTAGATAATGCCCATCATTTTTTTAAATTGAAAGTTATATGATTTGACTTCGAAAAACGATTAGTGGGTCATATCTTATAAAAAATGATAGTGGTTTTGTTTTTCAAGCCAGCGCAATTTTCTTAAAATGAGTAAGTTCGTAGCTGTTCACCAGAACAAAATGTGATTTTTAACACTATGAATTACCTCTTACTGAACACAAATCAAATTTTGCACTTAAACTTCAAGGAAAATGTTGAAAAGATGATGTAACGTTTACAGCACATGTGAGCGTAACCGGTATCAAACGTTTGACAAGATACAAGCAAGCAGTTTTGGCCGCCCTGTTGAAGGGCAAGAGTATGCCCTCCAACATGGCGGCCAATGCAATTCATACTACTTTGTTGACAAATCAAAGTGCCATAAAATATATCCCGTAAATGCGTTTCCTCTCAAATTTCGGGTGTAAGAATATTTTTGTGCTCTGTTAATTTTTGGCATCAGCAAGATTCCAACTCATTGTTTAAACGAAGCGTTGGTTACGTGACCTCTTAGTACAAGTGGCCTGTTACGATAGAACTGGTAGAGAGCAAACTGACTAAAAGCGAAGTAACTGTTCATTTCTACAAAGAGCTGGGCTACTTGTCTCATGACAAGGTAAAATGTAAACAACAACAACAACAAATAATTCAGATCACTGTCTTAGACTCCCAAGTCTGAAAAACGTTTTGATCAATTCCGTAATTTTCTCGGATTGTATGTGGTGTTGTAACGAGGAAATTCAGATCACTGTCTTAGACTCCAAGTCTGTAAAACGTTTTGATCAATTCAGTAATTTTATCGGATTGTATGTGGCGTTGCAACGAGGAATTTTAAAATTAGGGAAATGATCCCCGGTTTAAAAGAACGTGAAAATTCCCCTCACCTGACAACACGACTTCTGACTATTTCATTGTCAGCCCATCTGTCTTTCACATTCTGTTGCAGACAGCAAAACAGATAACGCAAGTTTCTGCAAAATAATATTAAACACGTCCAATAAGCGTATGTGCGATACCAAGATGTTTCAGGGTATCGCCTTCAGCGAAATCAAAGGGGCACTGTTTAGAGATTGTTCTCATCTTTCGTCAAGCAAATACCTACATGACATTTTATCAACTAACATTTGGTATTTCATCTATACTAAACTGAACTGCTTCAGTCCACAAAAATTGACCACCAAAAATATAAACTGCACCATAGAAAAAAAAGCAAAACTTTTCAAGTTTCAATTTCGACAAAACGTACAAAAACTTCGGACCAACTTTTCCGATACGTAGCTGATATGAAGATTAGTCTATACACTGGATGACACCATCATGACCAGAACAAGGGTCCCCTGAACGTCACAGATGTCCCCGAAAGAGGTAAATGATACATAGTTATATAGCGGGGCCTACACTCAGGGGACACTCTCAGGACCAGAACAAATGTCCTCTGAACAAAGATTTCCCTTCAAAAGAAGCAGATTATACAGTGGCACAACTATTCACAGGACAATCTAAGGACCAGAACAAGTACCCTCTGGACAGAGATTTTCCTTCGAAAGAGGTAAATGATACATAGATTATAAAGTGGAGCTTCCATTTAGAGGTCACTACCAGGACCAAAATCGAACAAGTAGAGGAATCTCTTCAAAAGAAGGAACTGAAACAAAAATTTGGCAGCGTCACTTCCGTTCAGTGGACATCCTTTGAAGCACAACAGGTGCCCTCTGAATTGGGGGTGTTTACATGAGAAAACTCGCACCGGCGCGAGTTTCATACCAGGATGACTTCTTGACTTCGTATCGCGTTTACGTGATGACTGCGTCATTTCATGTCGGGTTTATATGAAGGTACTCTTCAAGCTGATAAAATACACGTGCGATTCAATTACGCATGCGCTACCGGCAGACCTAATTCACAACGAAACGAGTGGTCATTTCGCGTTTACATGATACCGTTGCGAAATTTCGTACCGGAGTACAACGACGGGGTTAACTCACGCCGGTGTGACTCGCGCCGGCATGACACTTTGTGGAGGTATTACCTAAATAAACACAGAGCCACAAGAGGGAACCGGAATGAACTCGCGCCGGCACTTACCCTGGTGTCATGTAAACACCCTCTAAGAGTATCCCTTCAACAGAGGTAACTGACACAAATATTACATGATTCCTTTTTTCCGAAAAATAAGTTTGTACCCCTTGAAGAGAGGAGTCTTCTGAGTCGAGGTGTTGCAAAAGAAAGGGTTTCATAATAATTCAGTTTCTGACGGAAAAACATGCAAGGATAGAAGCAGCATTTATTTAAGTTTATATGGGAAAGGACTTTAGTCAAGTACCTTACCTCGGACAATTTTCAGCGGAGTTAACAATAGCGTCAACTGCTTCAAATAAGAATTCTAATAATTGCTTCAGGTTAACCACGGTATCAGCGCCTTTCTCTAGCTTAGCTGGGTTCAACTGCAAAAACGAAATTTAAAGAACTGATTAAGATAACTTCACAGAACCTACCTTAACTACTTGGTCCAATCTCGGTTAACTTCGTCCCGCGAAAAACGGTGGTGGGATATAAAGAGCTCTTAGTATTACTTCAAATATTGCGCTGGACATCTGTTTGACTCGCATCATTTGTTGACAGCAGATCTTTTTTTTTCTATCAGAAAAATCTTTGATACCAAATTTCCCCTTTCGTTACACCGATGACCTTTTACAAAACCAAAAATATGGCACGAAGAAAAGAAAAGAACGGCGAGAAGAGCCCCTGAGGACAATGTCTTACAAGACCAGTTCCAAACGGTCGCCGCCGTTCTGCCTTCTGATTGGTGCCAGAAAACTTTTGTGTTTTTCTGCCCAATCAGAAGGCAGAACGGCGGCGACCGTTTGGAACTGGTCTTGTAAGACATTGTCCTCAGGGGCTCTTCTCGCCGTTCTTTTCTTTTCTTCGTGCCATATTTTTCCCCCCGTTTAGACTTTCCCTCGCCCCCACTATCTGCCCCTGGGTCTCCGAGGATGTTACTAAACGTTAATGTTTCAGACAAAAGAGAGCTCCCAGATTTCAAGTTCTTGCCGCTTTTGAATAATTCAAGACCACACCTGATATGTTTGAGAACTAGAAATATTCCTTCCCCCTTCCCGCTTTTCTCCTGGAACCCTAGCCATTTAACCAATCAGGTAAGATTTCATCCCTTAACATTCTTGATAACTCCTTTCCTTGACAGGCTCAAAGCTGTGGGATGACGAGTGAGTTTATTGGGGTGTAATTACGCCGAGCTAAACCACTTTTAAATCCGTGACCATTAATACGCATTTTCTAAAACCCAATCGAAATACATGAGCGCCTCCTTTATGTCTTCTGTGAAGTCCAACGTCGAAACATTTTATTTAGCAGATACAGAAAAAAAAAGGAGTTTGAGCTTAGGAGGAAGAGAATTGTAAGGGGATCAGAAACGGAAAACATTTCAATCACAAATTTAGATCGAGAGTAGTTTTCTCCACAGTTGAGCGTCCAGAGTTGAATGATGCTCAATTTAAAGATGACTACAATTGGTTCTTTACAATGGAGTTCAGCTGCGTATTGTTCATTCATAGGAACAATTGTTATCTGATAAGACATGACTTACTCTCAGCACGCACGAATTTAAGCGCAGAAGTTTAAAAGTCTGCTGGAATTTAGACGAAAAAATTTTCCATGTATAGGGGAGATATGTATCTTCACAAATCCATTCTTTTATACGGAGTTTGTTGCTTATTACGAAAAAAAAATCCAAGCCAAATTTTAATGGGTGTTCACCCATCCTAGAAAAACCAAACAAGCAAAGTTTTAAAGGCAAAAAGTCCGGAAGTTATTCTTGTTGGATTTTCCTGGTTAAAGGTTAGCCCTTTAACTCCAAATATCCGCTTAGTAATTCAAAAAAGCGTAGAAATTCTTCCCTTGTCCCTCTTACTGTAGCGCTTTTGTGGTGCTTTCATGCTTTAATGGCCCGCTACGGTAGCTAGGTAAATAACCCGGTCATTCCAATCGATACCGCGCGATTAAAGAGAGCCAGAGCAACGACCACGACCCCGTCAAGTAAAACGACGTTCCATTTTCTTCTATTCGTCTTATTAAGCAAAATTTAAACAGAGGTCTAACCGTGGGAATGCCTTAAAAGGATCTCACCCGGGTTATTCGGAAAAACCATAAGTTCGACAGGCAAAATCTTGCTAGCTGCAATCACCGTATGTTGCTCTAGCTTGGTCACTAAATGTTAGTATTTGTCTCCGACACGTTAATTTACTGAGTAAAGCTACAATATTGTACCTCACATGACTGCTTACAGTCCAATATTTTTGCTACAACATCACCGATGGTTTTCTGTAAGTAAGGAATGGCGACCATTTTCATGTATTGATCCATAAGGGTGGTAGTTAATGAAGTTCCTCGAAACAACGTGGAGACTTCTTCTGCAAACAAATATCAAGTAAGGTTTGTTAAACTCTTGTTTCTAAAACACATATTGGAAGTTTTTACAATAACTGAGCGATTTCTCGCGCGCTGATTGGTAAAGAGCTTTGTTCGATAAGAGTACAGACGATGGAAATGACGCAATGGTGGCGCAATTTGTTTTTCTCTTTCTCGCCGAGAAACGTCAACAGAAATAAACGTCAAGACTGTCAATGTCATTGTAAAAAACAAATCGACAACAATTTTCTACGGTGTGTACTCTTAACGACCATAGAAATGACGTCATAATGTTGAAAACTTTGTAGTGAAACTATTCGCCTGCGGATCGTGGTTCCACTTGATTTTTGAACATTTTGACGTCATTTCTACGGTCGAGAAGAATACAGAACATGGAAAATTGTTGTCGATTTGTTAAACGTTGGAAGGATCGATTGTAAAAGAAAGACGTCCTCTTGAAGAACAAACAAATTCAAGCAGTCTAGACAGATTAATTAAGGGCATTCAAAAGAAGTTGGTTGTTTTCCCATAAATGCAGGGTTCCAAGTAAAGAGACAGACATTGAGCCTTCATTTTCGAACGCGACTGCCATAAATGAGAACAGTTGAATCACTTCTTTTGAAATGCCACCAACTGGTAAAAAATTATTTAGCTGCAAAACAAAATGCATCGTCAATTAGAAAGCTAAAGAAGTACCATGCATATAGAAAGAAAAAGGCCTCTTCCCGCTATCTTTCTCCATACTTTGTCATTGAAGTATATTCAAGACGCGCGCAGGTACACTACGCCTTTGAGCTGCCCTTAAAAGGTCAAATTCAACGGCTGAAAACCGTGTCTACTGTCGCTATAGTAACGACCGGTTATAACAGTTTCAACCCTTACCTTGATTCTCTATATCTAACGAGTTCATGGATTTTAGCAGGAAAATTTCTTCCTTTTCGTGACGAAAGATTTTCAGGAGAGTCGACGCCAGAGCCACTCGATCTTTGCAAACTTGGCCGAGGCCCTTTACTGCTTGAAGATCTTTGTCCAAAAGAATCTGCAACGACGAAACGTGTGCCATTAATAAAAATCCGGAATGAACAATAATAAAAAATATACTCTGGCAATTATTTACGCATGGTCAGAAACACGGGTGGAAGGCGTTGAGGTACGGTGGCCAAATGGCTAGTACTATGGCCTCCCGATCAAAAGCACCGGGTTCAAGCCCTGCCGGAGTCATAATGTTGTGTTCTTGGGCAAGACACTTAACTCTCTCGGTACCTCTCTTCACCCAGGGGTATAAGGAAGTACCGGAGAATTTAATGCTGGAGACCCAGGGGCAACTAATGGCAATTAGAGTTTATCAGCTAGATCGTTGCGAAATTTACAAGACAAAAATGAAGAGAACCCTGTGCATTAACGCTAATCCGCAAACCAGTTCCATGAGCATTTATGTTCCCTGTTTCTCACCGAAATTTTCTGACCAAACAGAAGCAGGGAAACCACTAGATTCTTGAACTTATTCAGTAAGATTAATTGCCTGGGGCGCTCTTTCGTTCTTCGTTTCAACCAAACCGCCCGAGCTGATTTCATGCCCAAACATTTCGTCCCAATAATAAGTTCAGTCTCCGATGATGTTTATTTCATGTACGTGTAGGAACGTGACGATCAAAATATGAGTAAAAATTCGTCTCAATATAACTCCATTAGTGCGTTCTTAAGCCATTAAAGCTACTAAAACAACACCTGAATGAGCAAAACCGAAACATTAACATCAGGTTTTGCAGCGACATTCTCCAGTTTTCATTTCAGCCTGATACAAAATATTTTTTTCCTGTTTGTAGAGCAAACAAAGCTGGGAAGTCAAAGACAATGTACAAGTAGATGGTAGTAAACTAATGCTACCTTTTTAGATGGCTTCTTAGCAACAGACTTAATACCTTACCAAACCACAAAAACAGCTTGGTCACGAGCGGCATTTACAGTTTAATACAAACATACCTCTTTTAGGGGACTATATTCTCCCACAGGCATAATAATCTCATGCTGCAAGACAGAAAAACACGGCCACGTCAGACTTGCGCACTGCACGTCAGGGAATGTTAAGTCGAAAAAAAAGACATTTTAAGTCTACCCTGCCGTGCTGCATTGAGGTGCAGTAGGAAGACTACAATTTACAAAGAATGAGGACAAGCGGAAGTGTGCCCTTCATTAACATCTTTTGAACCAGCTGGACAGATACGTCCGGCAACCTTTGCTGTTTCCTTATCGCCTACATACTTCTCATTAGATAGAGGTAAATGGACTTATTCTTCCCAGTGTTCTTACCAAACAAATTTTAACAATTTTGAAACTGGTTACTTGTTTCCCTATAGCATGATACATAAAAAGCACTACCTCTACTACCCTGGGTGCCAGAGACTTTTCTAGATCGCGGCCGAAGATGTGTCTGCTGACACCAGAGATTGCCGCCGCACGCGCGAAAAAACCTCTGGTACCCAGGGTATACCTCCACTTTTCTTACCGTGAATTTACTCTTGACTCTAACGCTACCGATTTCCACTTTAGCGTGAGAAGAAGGAAGGAGCGGATACCACTCGTCTAACACATTGCCTTTTGGTAAACGGTTTAAAGGAACCATCGCACTTCCTGTCAGAGACAAGTAGCCACATACACAACAGCGTTAAGCTAATTATTGCGGCCATGTAACAGTACCCTCCCTCCCCTCCATCGGTCTAGTTCCCCTAGCTTTTTTCCAAAAGCACAGCCTGCGAATACAGCCGTCTCTTCTCTCTCCTCACTGCTCTTGAGGGACGTCTCGCGAAACGTCTCCAGGGGCGAGGAGCAAGGAGAGACGGCTGCGGGCTACGAAAAGCAGATCAGGTTCCTTTACCTCTTCTTCGCATTGTTAAGGAAGGCAGAAGGAGACAAGGATAACGGCTAAACGTCATCGCGTATTGACGAAATCACTTGAACTGAGAAAAGATTTTAATACACGGCTAGTATTTTCTTTGAAGTTTTTTGACACCCTGGTTGGTGGTCCAGCCCGGATTTGAGCCCGCAAACTAGCAGACCAGCACTCTTCCAGCCGTGCTAACAAGGAGGCGGTAAACTGACATGAACTTTTACTAGAAAAGGAGAACTGAACTTAATCCGGGAGGATTTGCCTAAAAGCAAGGCAAATTTGTTCCCATTAATGTGCCAAAATTTCATGGCACGCCGTAACGTACCAATTGCCCCAGTTCACCTAGAATTAAGATGTTGCTAAAAAATTTCTTAAGAGGGAATATTCTTATCTGACTTACCTATAAGCACATCTTTAGAGCGCTTGTTACGATTGTACAAATCAACTGAGTAGTAAGTTACATCGGACGGAAGATCACTGCAAGCAAACATTATAATAGGTATGGGACATTGCACAGTTTTCAACAGCCTGGCCATTTCCGGGATTCAAAAAAATCCCCTCATTCTCAAAGTGCAAAACCTTTCATGTAAAAATGAGTTTTGCTTCAATGACAGTCACAATATATTTGTTTCCAAACATTGAAGACTTCACCCCTACCTCATTTTGAAGATGTTAAAGATAACTAGGAAATGACTTGTGGAGTCTTTAAGGTAATGTTAGGCCAAGTGATTGGTTAAGAAATTTCGCGCACCTTTCATCTTTTGCGATCAGAAATAGTTGAACTAGGCAGGAGCAGCCATAACTTGCTCGTTCGATATTTCTGGTGCTTGTAGCCGGGAACGTGTAATCGTCAAAAATATAAGTGGCAGCCGGAAATGTAAATTAAGATAAAGAGTGTAATACAATCGAACTTCCGCTAACGGCCACTTTTTTAGCGGACAGCCCACACATTGATTCTTGTTTAAACCTCTCTACAAGGTGGCCGTTGTGGCGAGGTTCAACTGTAATTGATGAACACAAGAAAGCAAAGGTATGCGGTCAGATTCAAAATCAGTTAACTCACTTGAATTTAAACTCTTCGTTCCATATCGGCGAATGCCCCTCCTGGGTCTTGGTCCGGCAGGTCTTGACTTCATTTAGTGAAATCATACAATAGGGATGGGAAACTTTGTTAGAACTGTGTGCTTCGACAACGTTCACTTCCAAACTCCTTAGTTGTTTCACGTCTCTTTCCCCGACAGTGGTATTCATCACTTTGCCACAGAATTTTTTAATAGCTTCCATCCATTCCTGAAACAAAAGAATACATGTAATCACGATTTCAAAGCAGAAACAGAGTATGGACAGATTCTTAAAGGCACGAGTGAAATAACTTTTGTTTCTCCCTTTTACGTGAATCACACAGGCTTTCGCCCGACGGAACTCAGTTCTTTCCAGAAAGGGAGCTTAAAGTAACAACGACGGCAACGGCCATAAAAACGGCACTCATAAAGGCATTCAAGTTCTTTTATGGCTCATCGCGATTTTACCAACTCACTCACTCAGGGTAAAAAGGAAGGCAGATCTTCCTTAAGTTGATTTCCAAAGGAGCACAACGAAGTTCCGACAGAGAGAGAATAACTCGTCGCCGTGGGTTTCTGCACTCCGAAATCGCGCAAAAAGAAATTTTACGTCGCAGTCGTGCACTGACAACAGAGAAATGTATCAAAATTGTGATTGTCGAGCAGAGCTGTTGTTGATAGATTATTTAATGTTTGCCGCGCACATGATTCTAAGTCTCTCTGATTCCGTGGCTGTCGCGTCAACCAGCAAGAAGAAATTTTTACAGGAGGGCACATAAAAGTTACCATACGTAATATTTCCACTTCAACATTATCAACAAACCCATAATCCACAATTTTTGTGGTATATATTTATTGCAGTATATTGTACTCATGGTTGTTAAAATGATACGCTGGGCTGTTGCCGTCAACGGCTTAAAGAAACAAGATAGCCAGTGCAATATCAACTTTAAGGATGGCTGTCAAAGGAGAACACAATATATGATTGTGTTATAAATGAATATCGTAAAGACTTCACTCACATTCGCAAGATCCTGAGTGTCTGCACAAAGGTAAAACATCCGCGACTCGTTAAATGCCCGTACGACGACTTGAAAACAGTTTGGCCTTGAAGAGAAGAAAGCACAGAGACATTACACTGAATGTTAAGATGTCGCTCAAGAGAATAAATTAAATAAGAAACCGGAAGCAATGCTCTTCTGCTTTCTCCAAAAAAAGTTGCGCAATAATGCGGAGTAGGCACCAGGCCCTACTTCGGTCCCATGAGAAGTATACGAATGACGTCAGTTGCACTTAGATGGCTTAAAACACGGCTTTAACCCATGTATAGTTATGACTGTATCTAGGCAAATTTAAGGGCTTTACAAAGCACCATCAAGGCCACTTTATAAATAAACTTTTTTTTTTTTTTTCCGTTTTTCTTTTTTTTTTTTTTTTTTTTATTTTATTTTATTTTATTTTATTTTATTTTATAATCACACTTGGCATTCACTTACAATACAGCTACACGGTACTTACTTACAACAAGACTACAAAATTTACTTACGTTACAGCTTTACTACTTACTTGTTTGCTACTTACTTACATTAAAATACCTAAAACTAGTTTACAACAAAGAAAAGGACTACTAAAGACAATAAATAAATGAAAAGAAAAGAGAAGAAAGAAAGAAAAAAGGCGACTCCTCTGCCTAAAACGGTTTTTAGCAATAACTACATTGACAACAATTGCTAATATTAATATTAAATTATTATTAATATTAATATTATAAATAAACTTGAGTAATTTTTTTTTCTTTTTTAATTTGGGCGGGTTTTGAGTAGAATTGTACACTTAACCAAGGACAAGACTACAAAGCTAGACAAAAGCAGTTGGGAAGACAACGTCATTGCTTCATTGTATGCTATTCATTTTCGTGTTCAAAAAAGTTGGTTTTGCCTTTTCTCTATATACTCCCACGTCCCCCCTATTTAGTGCTGGAATATAACAGAATAATTACGCCCACAAACACTTAAGTTTTGCAACTTTGGACCAAGGGACGGGGGAAAGAGGTAAAAAGTAGAAGCCTTCCCAACACTTTTGACTAAGATTGCGGTTAATGGCCCGCGGGCTTTGGGAACCTTGAATTGCATTCGCCTTATCATTTTTTTGCTGATAAGTCAAAGGAGCGCTTGGCCATGTCCTTGTCCACATCATAACTCTATAAAAAGGCTTGAAAGGGGCACAAAAGCCACAGAGGATCATGTTGAATAGGTCTGGTGTTGACAGCATTCGACATCTTACCTTCCGAAAAAGCTCTGATGAACCTCATAAACCATTGAAAAGCTTAAATCCATCATCCCTTTTGGTTTTGTTCTCTGCAAATGTCAAGGAAAAATAAATGTAGTTAAAGACACTGATATCATTCTAAAAGACAAAGTTAAAAATAGATTTTTTTTTATACACTCTTCATTATGTTTTTACAAAAAATGTACATAACGGCAATTTTTCACTATTACACCCAAAGAGCGCTTAAAAAGAAAGTCTTCTGTCTACATGTATACAATGAAGACAATCAACGAATCCGTAAGTTTTTGAAAATACCTTTTAGGAAGGAAATTTGGAATGGCCCGAATGCCGTAGTCTTGCGAATGGATGAAAATGGAAATTCTTGAACAAATCCGTGAAAAGACATATCCGTCTCAAATACAACAGGATTCTTTGAACGGCAGAAAACGCTTCTTGTCCATCGAATCATTTGAAATCCGCAGAAAAACTTTTGCGGATTCAAGAAAAACGGATACATGTGGATGGGGTGTAAATATATGACCAACCTTGTCGTTTTCAAAGAAGTATAAATGTTGCTCCATGCCATCAAGAACAAAGAACATTCTTTTCCACTTGTTACGGTGTCCTAGAAATAGACAAAATAAAAAGCCACATTAGTAAAAAAAGAGGTGATCATGACGGAAGAGAAATAGAAAAAAAAAGTAACAAGAAAGAATGGTAATAGATATTATGATGTTATCGTATCGCTTTGTAGTATAACACTACATTTTGGTAATAACGACTAAGCTTTTTCGAGCTTAGAAGTATTACCAATGACAACGGCGTCTTTTGTTCGACGACTGTAAGACGCTGAAGCCACGCACAGTAGCGCTTGCATATGGACGGATTTCAGTGACTACAGTTCGATCTGTCGACCGATCTTTTCAATAGACCATTTGCACGATGGCGCCATTTTACTACAGTAGTACGACCAGAATCCCTTTTTCCGCCTTTCTTTAATATTTATATTAGGTAATCACAGCGAGGTTTAAATAACCAAAGCCCTAATAGGCCATTTCAAAGTTCCAAAAACTCTCACTTTCAAAATGAAGCAAAGTGCAAAACTTGTCTTGTAAAAATTAGTTTTATTTGGATGAAAATAAAAAATCATTTTCATTTCAATGGCTTTGAAATTCGCCTCGCTTTGAAACAGAGGCTTGGGATGACTCAGAAATGGCCTTTTTTCACAAGAAAGCAAAACTCTGAAGGATTCTGGTCATAGTAGTAAAATAGAGTCATTGTACAGATGGTCTTTTAACAACAACATTGACAAAGTCACCTTTCTTCACTAAATACCCTCTCTTGAAAGCTTGCTGACTACGATAAATAAGGGGCCCAGGAGTGCCAGACGTGAACATAAAAGATGACCCATTTTCTCGGCTCAGAATCCTGCTCGGGCTCATTGGTCTGTGAGGAAGATCCCAGTCCTGCGCCTGAAATCAAACAAAACCAGCTAACTTAACGGAACTGAGTAGGAAAAGTCGTACTTACTCTCCACAAAACCACAACACACAATCTTGGCTTAATGCAATTATTGCTGATGTTTTCTGATTGTTAGTCTAAGGGAAATCCCGACAACTCAAAGCGCAAAAACAAAAACTATTAGCCTGACTCAAAGGAGTGGCATCTTTCCTCTAAGTCTGATGAACGACGGAGGTTTATGCCTCAATAAAGTGCGTAAATGTCTTACCCTTGACACAGGCTCCTTCAGAGACAGTCCTTCAACAATATGCTCATGCTTATACCTGGCTACAACAGCGTCCACACTAAAAGAAGTACAACAGACACAATTTTGGTAAACCTTTTCGATACTGTAGGTGCGATTACACTAGAGCTTTTCCCCAAAGCTTCTCTTGGGGAGATAGCTTAGATTGAATTCGCTCTGGGTTTTGATCACTTACATGTTTGCGGTTACACGTTGGTAAAATTGCCAAAGGGAAAGAGAAAACTTGAATTCAAACATTGAAGGCTGACATAAATCGTTAACGTTTTCGACAATTTGGACCCTTCTAAGAGAGGGGCAAGCTTATTTTCGTGAAGCCGTGATCGACAATTTAGGGTGTCCGTGAATCGTCATGTACTGAAAAACTGTCCTGTGAATCGTGATTGAAGTACCCTCCGTGAAACGTGAAAAGACAAAATCCTCCATAACCGTTTATGATTTGGCGCCACTAGGACACCATGGCACCTAAAAAACACGTGATTTCTGGTGTTTGCTACATTTCACTTTCTCGTGATTGGTTGAGCAGCTTTAGCTTTTTTAAATTTTCACGAGGACTACTAAGTAGTGCTCACGCGTGAAAGAAAACGTGATGGCCCTCGTGATTCTACTACGACCTTTAGCGAGATTGTCGCAGTGGCGGAGACAAGTTCGAAATGTTAGAAGTTTCATCACTTTGCGATCGGGAGAAGGCTTAACCACCTTCAACAAAAACAACCGTGCTAGCTTCTACTGGTAAATAAAAGTAAAACGAAGCTTCCGGGGTGTCTTATTAAAGAAGACACAAAAAACTTTAGGTCAGTTATTAGGTGAAACCTCGTCCTTGTCCTTGAATCTAAAGGTCCCTATTAACAGATTCGCTCAACATCCTTTGCAGTGGCAGTGAAGAATTTACAGGAATCTTAGAATAAATACCCTCAGAATTAATAATCCCCTTTACCCTCTAAAGATCAAATATCCACATACAAATTCTCCACACGGCACACGCATCTCAATACATTTCCATAAAGAATTAATTTGGAGAAATTTGATCGATCACTCTTCGGACTTAAAGGGCTAGAAACACACAGCAAAACATTTTACGTGAACAACAATCTTCACTTCGCAATCTGACGACACTGACAAGATAAGCAAGAAGCACAAGGTCTTAGCTAGGTGGTGTATGCAGATACGTATTGTACTCAGGCCATACGACTGCTAATTGCTGGCGATAAAGCTGATTGGTTTACCTGTCGAACGTTCTGCCACCCATTGAATACTGCAATCCCTGTTTTCTGATGAGGAAACGAGTGATACCCTCTGGCGTTCTAAAGAAAAAGAATAATGTTTATGTTCACACTACACTGCAATGTTTTTAGGTCGGCACGAAAACCATACTGGATAGGGCTTCTATTCACACATAAGAACCGGTGATTTAGGAGCAATTTCTGTGAGAGAGCGAAGCTGTGACGCGCCGATCTCTTAAGTGGAGAGTCATATGTCGGATAGGTGTTCATACCATACCGGATAGCCAGTTTTCTTGACGCTATAGTGTGATAGCCTGCGTTTCAGCCGGCCCACGCACTCGTCAAAACCAATTGTATAGTACGTACGCTCTGCTCTATACAGAAGGTTTAGAGCGACTGCGACGCAGCCAATAGCGTGATAATAGCCTAAAATTGACACCAGCCCCTCTTCATGTAAGGAACAACCAACAGGACACAGCCAAGACGGCCTTAAGCCACTTGACTTTTGAATGAGTTATATTCATTTACAATTCACTGTGCAAAGCGTCCCTGGAAGCTTTATCTGTGGTAAAACAACATTTTGCTGCACTGAAACGAAAGAAGCGCTGTATAAGGCCGTTTTCAACAGAGTCGAACCTTTCCCACCGCACTCTGCTTTTAGTTGCGGAGGTCATTTCAAACACTTATCCTTGATTTCCCCTCGCCATCACGACCACTGACACCTTCAAGGCAGCAATGGCCGCTAAATTACGCCCCACCTAGCGCAATAGGGAGTTTAAGATACCAAGACGGCAACGGTGACCAACGACGGCGAAAACGTCCCTTAAAAAGTGACTACGCATTTTTTGAAGCTTCACTGAGCGCGATTATCCCGACTCGCTTACTTTGTCACATGTAGGCGAACTCTTATGGAGCTGAATTCCTAAGAAAAATGTCCAAGTTCACAGAGGGGAAGGGAATTGGTCGTCATTTGTTAAGTTCTCCATAAAACTAAAAACTAGGCAAATTGTCGTCGTAGTTGTGTAGTGACGGCAAAGAACTGTACCAAAAGTGTGCTGCACGTGTTAACCTATAGCTTATTTCACAATTCTCGTTCTCGTTCTCGTTGCCGTCGTGACATCTTAAACTCCCTAATGAAACTCTACATAACAGCCATTTAAAGTTTAAAAGCAAAAGAAGAACAAACTGATACACTCACTTTTTCAGCCTTCTTTCGTTAACACTCATTAGCATGTATAAAATGGCGTAATTTTATGGCATTTTTCAGGGTAACGTAGGCAAGAAAAAAACAAAAAATCGGAACTGTGCCTAAAAACAAAATGGTATGTGCCGGAAACTGCCGTGGCAAAGTGAAGCACTTTGACGCTCCTGGTAACGAGTTTCTGTCGTCCCACTTGTTTTGTGCTCACCTGTACTGTTTTATTTTCGCAAAAAAACGTTTTCAAAGGTAGCTAATACTGCCAGAAGGGTTAACAAAAGATACTCTTGCTTTGCTTGTTTTGCTTTTTAAGGACAGCTGTACATAGACTTCCGTTTCTTCCTAATTTTACTCATCAACAGCATAACAAGCGAAACAGTCAAGGAGCCAAGGAGCAAAACCACACGCGCTCACGCGTTTTCACTGGCGAATATATCACTCAATTTTCTTGAATTTTATTCCCTCGCGAACTGAACGTGTGTATCAATGTGGAGCGCGAAGGGACGCCTAATCCTACCCCCATCCCCTCAAGTCCGCATGCTCGTTGTCTGTCAGGGTGGCGTTACTTTCAGTTTCCGTTGTCAAAACAGAGTCCGTAAATAGTCTGCATACGAAAATAAACATCTTTTCATCTGTTTTGAAAGCAGACACAGCCAGTGAAACACCTTTTTTTATCTTTTCATAGACACACTACTTGGAAAGAAGGCAGTTACTTTATTTTTGCACATAGAACAGTTGATAATTATCAAGCTTCAGTGTTCTCCAGAAACTCCAACAGCAGGCAAAAGTCGCAACACAGTTGCCACAGAAGAGCCGGCTACACACACAAAATATTTTTCTAAGAAAGAGAATAAGAGGTGGTACTTGTTTTTCAACAATTTTGTTCAATAACAACTAATTTATGAAAAAATAACAATAATAAAGCGAATGTAGGTTAATAAACGTCTCACCTTCAAGGGTAAAATTCTTTAAAGTGCATGAGCGAAAACTGTTTTTTTCAGTTATAAACTTTGCCATTAGAAATACTGAAATGCACTTTCAGATCCCCTCAAATAAAAATTTTTCCGGGGATAGGGGGGGGGGGACCTCCCAGCCTGATACATAACCACACATGGAGCTCATCCATGTAAAAGGTTTTCCGTTCATTTGATCTAATCTATTGCCACCCACTTTATTTTTTCCCCTCTAGTCAGAAATTTCTGAAAAACCCTGGCTTTATTCAACGATACTAGTGACTTTACAGCTCTAGATTAGAATGTGCGTCCAAGTAACAGACAAGCTGCAAAATAGTTGGTTTAATTTTTACGACTCGCACGAGGATGGAGGAAAACGCTGACATTCTCCCACTAATTAAATCTTCACGCCAAGCGGTCTGAGTTTCAACTCACGTGTAAACACTCTTTTCACGCTTAATTGATTTTATAAAACTTTGATACCATAAAAGTTGTGTTTTGTTACAGATTACAACAATATTTCTCTTACTTTAAAGATCTACCTCCTTTCTCATAAACCGTAATCAAATCCGTTACATACCATTTCGATGCAAAGAAAGAGGGTACAGAAGTTCGAGTGGGCGAATCAGTGCCACGTTTCACCCACCGATCGACAAAACAGCGAAAAATTCGGCTGGTCAGGTTATGACCATATGAGTACACTCTAAATGGCGACAATTTGATCAAAGGAAATGTCCCTTAAAGATGAGGTAACCTGTTACGGAAATCCGTGCCTAGAGACTTCACAGGATAGTTATTTCGCATTTTACAACATGTTTTCAGACCGATAGTGGAAATATCACCATGAATTACTGCTCTGGGAAATACACAATGGATGTCATAGGTTCGACTGCTTTTGACAGTTCTTGTTTTTTTTCTTCCGAGTCGCCTGTGTGACTGACTGAAGAAACATCTTTTTCATGTGTTCACCAGGCTCTAAGTCCACCATCACCTTTCTATCATTACGCATAAGCACATATCGGCATTCCAATCCTACTGTAGCAGTATTTACGATGTTTGTCTCATGAACCCAGTTTAGCTTAGTTCCCAGGATTCTGCTGTAGCTTATTTTGACCCCGTTTACAGAGTTCCAAACAATTTTTCGAACGGACAAAAACTTCCACGGATCCGCCTTTGGTTTACACGGCACACGCGGAACGGTGCACGTTTTTGAACGGCAAACAGCACTGCAATCTGCGACAGAATTTGCACGGTTCCGTGCAAACGGGGTTCAACGAGTAAAAAATTCGTCCCTTCAAAAATTTGTCCGGACACGTCTAATTGGGGTCTTCGTTTCCTTACAAGAAGGATAATGAATTCATGTGTTCCTCATGTTGATCAAAGACCATTCGTATTAGGAAGTGTACTTTTAGCCTAGTTTATCGAAAAACTGGGAGGATTATCGAGATATCACATCCTTATTAGCCTAAAGTAACGAAATTCGAGGTAGCAAACTATAAATTTGGGAACAAAAGAAAGTTGTCAGCTCTTGAAAAGCCTCGGGAAGTTTCTTTAACCCTTTAGTTCTCAAGGGTGACCAACATCAATTTTCTCCTAACAACATCAGCAGATCATAGGTTATGAGAATTACTAAATTGATTACCAAACGCAGAACGCTTTTATCTTACGCCAAATTCTCTAAACTATTCTTAAAAGAAATGTATGGAGATCAGTCTGAAGAATTTGTATGTGGATCTTGGGGCCTAAGGGACTAAAAGGAAGTGAAAAAAAAAATAAGAACAGTACTAATCTTCGGTTTTGAAAGAGCTATGTCACGAAGATACTGCTGTTTTAGTTCAATTCTGTGCTTAAGTCATTTAGCTTGACAGAGAACCTTTTCAAGCTGCCCGAATGCTTCTTTTTTCCGGTCACCTACACCTACACAACATATTTTTGTCCTGTTTTCAGTGTAAGGGCAAATAAGGAAAGAACGAGTATGACACCCACGCTAGGTCCCGCTTGCCGCTATATTGCTTTTCTCGTTTGCTTTTTTCATTTGCTTAAAACAAACACGTTGACATGCAAGAGAACTTCAGGTCTTACTTTATAGCAACATCAGAATTTACCAGTGGTAAATTAAATGGCAACTAATTTTAAACGTACTGAAATTCACGCACTGAAATAATGGGGAAGAAACTGACCTCAAAGGGAAGGGGGCGCCAAACCTGATCACGCCTAAGACTCAATTTCAAAAAGTGATAGATAGCAGGATCTGTCTGTATTATTGACAGGTATCCGAGCGGGGTATTTTTTGTTTCTGTTGCTTTTTGTTTTCTTTTCTTTCCCAAGCGCTCGAATATTTCCTTCGTTATTACATGACAAATTGAAGAGGAGTTCATGAACTTTGGAAGGACTACTCACACCGTTTTGCAGGAAACGAAAGCTGAATTTTAACAACAGATGTGAAAAACACAAAAGGAAAAATCTATTGGTCAAAATAGCAGCTGCACGCTTCCCCTAACGAAAGCAAAACGAGGAAATAGACTGAAATTTGAGGCTAAACTTTTCTCAAAATAGAGACAATTTTTGGTAATCAAAAGCGGAATTTTGGCAGCAAGCAGAACTTGTTCGCCTAATCCTAGATAATGATTACTGAAATTTTGTATCAATTATTACAAGTGTAGGGAAAGAGCAATGATCGAACGAAAACCAGACTAAGTTTCCTTAATTCAAGCTTATCTCAAGGATCGGAAAACAGCTGGGGAGGAAAGACTTAAGTATTCAGCTTTTTCCTTTTCCTTTCCTTTTGCCTAAAGTAATGACATTGTTTTTTTCTGTATTTAGTGGATGTAATATTTTTTATCTTCCTTTAGACAAGGAAGGAAAGGAGGGGTATTTTCTCGAAGTTTCATTTTCACGTGAACAGCAGTAACTAACAATGCATTTGAAATAAGCACAAATGTTAGCTATTGTTGTCCACAGAAATATGAAACTTAGAGGAATACCACTAAATACTGAGAGGCTCTCACCTTGAAACACAAAATTTCAGACAAAAAAAATTAGCGATTTGTAGCCCTTATTTTACTGCCTTACAAGTTACAATAATCTTGAAACTCAAAGGTCATAAAACGACGGTTGATCTCGAGAATCTCAAATTTTTAAAAAAAATCTATCTAGCAGTTCCAAGATTATTCGCTTAAATATGTTAAAGTAGACCAAATTGTTTAGTAAACCACTAACAAGAGCGCGTCGATACATACTAATCAAATCCTCCTTCCTAGCAATCGGCTAAAGCTATCTCCATGAGCTTTCTAAAGATCTCTTTCTCAAGACAGTGAAATTGCATTTCAAAAGCGCTTCGTTTTCTACAGATAACGGCCGAACATCAAGATTGTCCAGTTTTTATCGTATTTCTAACCGTAGAAACTTCATCACAAAATATCTCGATAAAGCTCTCATACATAACATTGAGGCGGCCAAAAAGCTACCAAAAACGATTTTGGAAGAACAGTTCCCAGTGCCTAGAAATATGGCTGCAAGTAAAATAGGTAATGGCGTCATTTCATTGCTATGACAACTCCGATGTCAATTCCACCCTGATCATAACAAATTTTCACCTTTCTTTAATACAGCTGTGGTGGTAATTTTTGCAAATGTTTGTTAATGGCGACGAAGTTTATGCTCAATCTTGGGAGGTTTTGACCATGAAAAACCCTATCGCGCCACCTTAACTAGTTTTAAATACCTGCAAAAACGGAGTACTGATGGAGCGAGGGGTGGGGGGGGGGGAGGGTAAAATGAGCAAACCGTCGGCCTCACATTTGTTAGTCGGATGGCTATTTCGAGCTACCGACGTAAAATAAGGACTCTTTTTAACTTTTTTTACGTATAGGTGGATATTTAAGTAGCCGCACTAAATCTAGGTCACACTTAGCGTTTTATGTCTGAAAAGAAACATTTGTAACATTCATAACATGTTTTTTAGAGACGTAGTGTTCACGCTTAGATACAAGAGACGATAACATGGATACTACAAACACAGCAGCAGCCGCATCATATCGGTTCCTTAGTAACAAATAGTTTTGTAATCACTGCACAACCAACAGTTACTACTTTTATTACTACAATTATCACCATCTCCTACGGAGATTGTCTTCAATCTGAAATTTAGCAGCCATGAAAATGCCTTGAAAATCTGATTACAATAAGGATGGGTCTGTTGTTAAAAAATCTTCGGATCTCCTACTGAAATCTATGGACCTCCAAGGAAAGCGTGGGTAATGTTCTTAATGAGTGGAAACGGTCGTAAAACCGTCACACAGTAATTTGATCATTGTGTTTCAAAAATGTTGTTGCGTCCATTCAATCTGTGACATAAGAGTTGGCCTGTATGGAAGGCGCTCAAAAGATGTCTCGCAAAAGAACGAGTGAAATCTGGCGCACAGGACCGCAAAAGGTGCAAACCAAGTGTTGTCGGCATCAATATCCATTAAAATACAAGAATGAAATAGGGGAATGGAAATAAAAAGAATGTGCGTTTTCTTAACAGGAGTCAAACCTATGTTCTTTTGGTAACTAGAGCAGATGCTCGACCACTGAGCCACAGGGAACTCCACAGGAAGGTTAGGCCAATAACTAGGTTTATGAGCGAACAACCTGGATACCGCTAGGACTGGAATGTCAATACATTGTGTGTGGCACATTGGCAATGATATAAAATAAGGTGATGGTGAATTTCCGCTTGGGGAATACATGTATGTGAGAATGGTCTGTTTTTCAGCTGGTGACACAAGCGAATCAAACAAAAAGTGTAGGCTATCAGTATGGAATTCTTAATCCTGGTCTTTTTAAGGCAGGGTCTCATTTTTTAAATCTGAGACCTTCCTCCCAAACTTCTTGCAGCTCCACCGCTAACAAACAAGTTCAGCAAGTGCACGCTCACTAATGTCGCTGATCCCGCCGGCTAGTGCTACTCAGGCTACTATGAGTTTGAGCCTCACATGGAGCACACAATTTTTTTCTGAGTTTCCTGGTGTTTGACTTCTCTATCTTTAAATTAGAATATTTAATGTCTCAATTCCAGAAAGCCCTTGCACCTCTTCGGAAGATCCTATCACCTAAAAGGTCCATTTACAGTATTAGGAATTAGAATAACAACCCCTTACCGGAGAGAGAGGGAGTAATCCCCCGGGGATTTGTCACTTGGCCTGATAAGGAAACTACCAATAACACCATCTGTCAAACAAAAACAACAGAGCAACAAGTCAGCTAGTACAGTCAAACTTTACAGACATGCACTTAATACAGACAGTTTCTACGTGTATGGCCCCCTCAGTGTCCGTACTAATGGAGTTTGATAAAAACCTCTGCTAGAACTGGGGTGGCTATTCCCAGACAGTTCTTCTTAGTTATGCAATAAACACTAAGCAGTAGAGTTACCAAAAAAAGGAAATAAAAAAACTGCACAACTGATATTAAATGCCTTATGAATGGAAATATAAGAAATGAATCATATTTTGAACTGCAGATAAAGATAGAAAAGTGGAATGATCCTGACCTCACAGTTGAGAATTGCATCCAGTCATCGCAAAGGTCAGGGTTTGATTCCCGGTCAAGCCTGAATTTTTTCAGGTGATTTTTAACCACTTAGATAGTTTATTCAACTGCGAGGATCATTTTTATAAATGCCTTATGTTACCTCTTAGTAGAATTTCTTGTGCTTCTTGCCTTGAAATGTTATTAAAGAACCATCTAAATGAAAAAGAAAATAAAAATAACAGTTTAGATCAACTTTACACTCTTCATTGTTATTTTTTCCTCATATTCATTCGGGAATTTTTAAAACAAAATCATTCTCAAACTCATTAAGAATACATGAAGGGAATCATTGCCATTATATGAGTGCAGATTGAAAATCTGATCTAGATCATCCAAACAGTTAAGCTCTTAATATCTCTTTAAGAATTATAATTTGCTCAATGGAAAATTTAGATCCTACATATGACAAAGTGTTCTTTGAATATCTAGAAGCCTGAAAATCAGTTTAAATACTTAGACTGTCCCTTGTTTCTTCAAGCCAATTCTCGATGTCTGCATGTTGAATGAAAACACTCAGTTGTCTCAGTTTGATATATAAAATAAGACTGATCTTTTTTCTTTGGTCTAGAACAATCAAATTATCATAACTTAACACTTACAATGTACATTAAGTTAAACACCAAGCACACTAAGCAAATGTTAAACATCTAAAAAATGAAAAAATAGTACTTACGGCCTTCCAGCACAAGGATCAAGATCTGATTTCTGCAAAAACGAAATAACAATTAAATAAAATTCACAATCAAAACCTTTATTAATTTCAGGAGACAAATTGGTGTTAAATGAACCACCTTTTTGACAACACTGTAGAATTGCTTTTCCCTTTACATGACCTCAGAATACCAAGGCTCAAAATAATTTTTAGACAGTGGCAGATAATGTTGACCCGCCAAAAACGTTTTAGCTCAGTCATGGCTCATTTCTGACCAGTCAAAATGTTGAAAATTAGCTATCACATGTACATTATAATCTGTTCATGGCCCACCTTCGATATATTAAAATTCTAACAAAACTCCAAGGCTTTAGGGTCAAAATTGCAAATTTTTCAAAACCCCATTGTCTCGCAATTCCCAAACGAGACTTGAGCACAAAACCAAAAATAGAAAAATGACCAGAAAGCCTTGGAGTCATGTTAGAATTTTAATATATGGAACGTGGGCTATTGGCATTCACAAGACTGAAAAACAACACCGTGAGAAAGCATCTAGCCTGTTCGCAGACGTTTTTTTTACTATTTTCGTTCTTTTCAAATCATCGGTGACAGCGCAAGCGAGGCAAGTGTGCGAGAAAGACTTCCCCCACCCCTAACCCCTTGCACTGGTGATCAATAAATCCCCTACGCTTTCTATTTTGTATCACGCACACTCAGTGGATTTTGAAGAGAAAATAGAGGGTCTGTGAACAGGCTAGATGCCGTCCCATTTACGATTATACAACTGTAAGGAACTAAAATGTGTTATGATTTAACTGTTTTTGTGAATTTACAGAATTAAGGCGAATAGTGCTTGTTAGAAATTTTTTATGGTCTTATTCAAGACCAGGATATTACTGGATGAAAGTTTTTTTAACAATAATACATGTAACACATTTTATCATCATAGACGGATTCAAAAACTTAGGAATATTGCAAATTTTTAGTGTAAAAAACCGAACCTGCACAAAATTATTTTTATCTAACAAACATAATTATCAATTTGTGGCAGTATAATAATCAGTTTTAGCTGTCTTTTTCACTACATTACACTGTTGATGCACATTTTTTGAAATTTCTTTTTATGTGTCCAAATAACTGCAATAATTAGCATAAATTGTAATAATTTATTACCATCAGTAAGTCTCATTACATTTGCAGCTACCTTTACCTATACAGAAAAAATATTCTAACAATGAAAGTATTACTTACAGCATCTTCAACAAGAGCTGCAGGTACCAGTCCTTTTTCCTGGTTTTTCTGTGCCGTCACCCACAGCCAGTCGCTGTCAATTTCATTTTCAACCACAAATACATCCCCTTGATGAAAACTAAAACACAAAATAACATGAATTCTCATAAAAATATTTTTTACTTTTCACTCCTGACTTAAGGTCAAACTGGAAAAGCTGTCACTAATTTGAAGCAATGATTAATTGACCCAGAATTAATATACTAGATCCTCTACAATCATGTAAATCCCCTCCTCTTAAAAGCACAGGGTTCACACAAATTTTGGATCCAAAATTCAAGACTTTTTTCCAAGACAATAATTAATTTCTTCAAACTCAAGGTTACCAAACAGGTGATAAACAGAAACCTTGAAGAAAGCAGGAACCAAGCCTTTTTCATGATGCACCGCTACGATACAGTAACCATGGCAAAGTGTGGAAGTTGTGAAACTTCTCATTCTGTGATGGAATGTTTTGGCTACAGGCAAGATACATGGTCACTGTATGACTGAATGGGATTTGACCAAGGGAAAAAATATTCACTTATTATAAAGCACTTGTTGTAGCTTTGACAAAGAAATTTCCAGACTTTATCTCTATTTTCTAGACTTTTTCCAGGCCTGGAAAATTGCTTTGCAAATTTTAAGACTTTTTCAAGAATTCAAGACTCTATGCAAAGTGTGTAAGCAGATCTCCATTAAAACAAGAAAAAGTTTTACTCTGTTATACCTCATGTCTTAATCATTAGTCAATTCTTTGTAGCAGGCCAAGAGTTTTGAATGCCTACCACTGCCACAGATTTTTTCTGATAGCATCTTTGTGAAGGAGAATTCTAGTGGCCAATTTGCCAATTAATTTTCAGCATTTAGTTATTGACAAGGTTAAGAAATTATTTAGCTGCACCAGTGCCTGTATATGGTGCAATTTTACACTCTGCTTAGCATCACATTGGCTAATAGATAACAGAAAAGATTATCCTTCAAAAACAAGTGGCCTTGAACAGGCTTCAACAAATATTAAGATCTCAGATAGCCATGATACACAAAAAAAAGAAAAAGTGTAAGAAATGGTGAGATAAATGCAGGATCTAACAAATACTGAGGCTGGATACTGAAAGACAAGTTAGAAAGATTACTGAGAAAGCATGTTTATTTGAATCTTGTGAGCCTGCATGCTTACTGGGCTATTTTATTAACTACTCCACCATTGATGTATACAGACCAAACCCAACCTACAATTCCAGGGAATGTGGGACGTGGATGTCAAACAGGATCTTGAATAGGATCCTGTTCTAGAATCATTTAAGATCTTACTTAGGATCCTGAATAGGATTTCTACTAATATTTGAACCACTCTCAAGAAGAGCTAGTGCTTAAAAAATCAGCTTTTGAATCTTTCTGTGGTAGTTAAGTAAGGCCTTCTGGTAGGGTGCAATAAGAAATCAGAAATTATGTGGCATTTTCAGGCCAGCTTGTGCGACAACAAAGGCCTATTGTGTGATAAATTATGCAAATTGTGTGATATTTTAGGTGGTAATTTAACCTTATTTTACCAGGTTTCAACGAAGAAAAATCCCTTAAATGTTGATGTTCTCTACTTTTCATTCTCTAAAAGCCCAGAATGTGTTAAAAGTACTTTGAAGACTAATTTCATAACGAAAATGTTACAACAGTCATTACATACCTCAACTCATCAGTCTCAGGAGCTTTGTTGTAAGTGTACTTTGCTAGCACTCTTTTCTTGCCCCCAACTGGTTCTGGAGGGGGTACAGGGTGCTTGAGGTGTTCATCTTTTAGCAAACAAGAGTAAACTGTATAGTAGCCTATTAGATCATTCAGAGAAACAAACTGCCGACCTCCGATGTAGTAATCACCACAAAGTGCTGTTATCCGAAAGTGACTCATCCCATTTTTGCCAAGAAAAGAGATTGAGAAAGTGCCAGGTTTGCGATCACTTTCTCGCACAAGGTATGCTCCCTCACGGCCATCTTCCATCAGTCTCTCTTCTGCAAGGGTTCTATCAAGCTTACCATGGTACCATCTAACAAGGGGAAAGAAAGAATGCCATGGATTCAAGTAAAGTACAACAAAATATGGGAGAATTGATTAGTAGACTTTGAATGAACAGCCTTTGTCAATGACAGAACAAGGAAAAAAATAAGGCCAACGGCTTAACTGCCCATAATTTGTCCTTTTATGCTTACTCATGTGTAAAAATGGCAAATACATGTACACATTTTGAAAGTGCTTTCTAGGCTCCATGGCTATTTATCTAATCATATATTAACTCTGAGAGTCAGGCCGGATAACATCATCTGAGATGTCTTTCAGTCAACTTAACCAGATACCTCAATCAACTAATGCAAATTCAAGGTTGTGCTGTAGCAGTCCTTAGTGGCCCCCTCTGGCACCTAACTTTTGCTCCCGGGTGACCAGAAAATCTTTATTTTTCATAGAAATCATATGCAGCTGGGCACCCTGGATTTCACAGGTTCAGAGCACCGGGCTCCCTTCACTTTTTCTTAGAGCAAAGCCTTGAAATTACTTCAAAAAAATCTTTATACACCAGTCCTCCCCCCACTCAGGAAAATCTTACCAATCTTCAATATTATTACTAATATTAATACTAATATACAGTAGATCAATTTATGCTCTGCCAGTATCTCATTGACTAGCAGACAAAAATAAAGGGTAACTGTAAAGACTGAATACCATGTAGAAAAATTCAAATCATTTACTGAACCAATCAACTGAGTTTATCACATAAACAAACCTGCAAAAAAGGTCTTCGTTGAAGAAAAATACAACATGAGCAATATACGATATGAGCTTCATAAACTGTAGATATCATGTCAAAAAGAAGCAAACAAATACACCTCGGCTATTAAAACGTATTATGGAGAATTTCAGTTACTATTGTATTATTCCCATCTCATTGGTGTCAGACTGTTTTTACTGTACTCAAAACTACATGAACAGCACTAATTTTGTGGAAAACTTGTTGTTTGTGTACGTGGTTCACTCAGTGGCAGCAGGAAATAAGCTGCTAGTACAGGAACTTCACCTTTCTGGCCAAGAATTTAGGCTTATTCCATAATGCTGTTATGGTTTACAGATAACGCGCCTTATCATGGAGTATAATCTAAAAATAACTATAAACATACAGAAACATCCCTCTTCCCTGGAGATTAACTATACTTGCTAATATTTTGAGGGATATTTATACAATCTTTCACGGGATAAGCCATAAAGTTAAGCCCACTAGAAACATAAACACTGTGACACCTATTTCAAGCGCAACGTTTTCGATCACAATACTCACTGGTCATCCGAAGGAGCAATCAGGGAAAGTTCGATATCTTCTTCTTCATCATCTATACATAGTTCGTCCTCTGAATGAGCATCTGGCTCATTCTCATTGATTAAATTGACCTCAGAGCCAGACGAGAAGTAGCGATCTCTGAGCGCCATATTTCCTTCCCTTGGACGGAGGGATTAGGAACGCAGGCTCAACACGATTTCGTAATACAATCACAAGAGGGGAGGCGATGTAGGGGGGAGGAGACGAGAGAGCACAGCCCCTGAAATATTGCGGTACTGTTGCGTTATTCAGGAATTTTTCGTTTTAGAAGTATGGTTTGCATTTTGTTCTGAGCGGATAGCGAGGAGGCCCCCCGATTTCATGCACAGAATCTGGGAATGAAATTAAAAGTGAAACTGTAACATCATAGCAGTAAAAAATAGACCTTGTCACAGTTTTGGACGCCATCTTGACGCCCTGTGAGAAACTACAGTGTTTGTATGAGAATCTAATTTCGAATAATTTCCGTAAAACGGCTGTTCTGAAAAAAATATCAGTTGTAAACTAAAGCTACAAAGCAAAGGATTGTCCTAAAAATATTTGGGGGCGTACCTGTGGTTAAATTTCTCCAGAGCCTTGCCTTAGATTTTTCATATATTTGTCTGTAATTTTCCCGGGACTTTCTTACAGACAAATGCATAGAAAATTTTAAAAAGTGGTTCTAGGTCTTCTAGTACATGTAACGCCCTCAAATTTTTCAGGAGAATCCTTATGAATGAAGCTTTAGTTTACAAGTCATATTTTTTTTACAGAACAGGCGTTCTACGGAAATTATTCGACATTAGATTCTCATACAAACACTGAAATTTCTCACGCGCTTGCCTACTCGTCAAGATGGCGTCGAAAACCGTGACAAGGTCTATTGACAAGTTGAAATGTAGGTACTTTCCAAATCAGGCGACTACTTGACATCAAAATATTTTTTTAGTACTTAGAGACACCTAAAAAAGGAAAATGAAGGATAGACTCGAAATGGAATAATTATTATTACAGCTGAAACGTCAAGGATTTTTACTTTATATTCTTTAAGAATATCGACCCACGGTCGGCACAAGTTCAAAATTTGATTTCGCTCATATTTGGTTCATCGATAACCCTTAATGAGTGATGAAACATGCCGTAGTTAGTTTTCCCAAATAAAGTGTTCTTTTGTTAAAATTCGAGAAAACGCATTTTGCCCGTTCAGAGCTCAAAATCCACTTCCGGTAAAGCTGAATTTTACACAAATTCCATTGACTCGTACGTCAAAACACAACGATTTGTCAGCCTTTGAAAAACACGAATAGTTTTTGTGACCCTTTCTTTCTTATAAGTCGATAAATTTGTGAAAGCTGAAAAAGTTTGGGACCAAAAAGGTATTGTTAAAAAATAGGCCTTAGTGACAATTTCTACCGTTCAAAATTATAGGGATAAAATAATGCAAATTTTTACGATGCGCTGTAACTTAAAATTCCGCAAATTGACTTTCTACTGCTTAACTGGGCCCCAGTCTATCAGAAAATCGAAACAAATCTTTGGGCAAACGATTTTAGAGGCGGGTGAATAGGTCCGCGGATCGGCGGATTTGGCCTTAAAAAGCTCACGGATTGTGGATTTCGGCGATAAATTCGAGCGGATTCGCGGATTTGAAAAATACCGTGCATCGCGGGTCAGCTGAAAGTTGTGGTCCGTTTTCCGGTTTCTGTCAGTCTAGAAGTTCGGATTGTGGATCGGATCATCAATTTTCGGTCGGCCTTGGTCAATGTGCTGGTGTTTTGTCGGCTAACGTTCCACTTCCGAGGTTTCTGGAAGAGACTTTCTCGTGACCGACGCATATACATGTATTCTAGTATAGACAGCGTGACGAAAATGACGTCAGGCAACCTTGTGCATAGCCTCCCACGCAGGCATTTTTACGGGAGCTCGTATTTCTTCCCTCCCCAAGGAGGGAAGAAATACGAGCTCCCCTAAAAACGCCTGCGTGGGAGGCTACCTTGGGCATACGGCATGGTGACACATGGTTCGGGTAATGGCGGTAATGCTAAGTGACCTGACAAGATCTGTGAATGCGTTCGTGTAAATTGTCTAAATTGCAAAATGGAAACTAGAACTATCGAGTGTGTAGCCTTTTTCTACCACGAAGGTGCCAAAAGCGATGACTTTATTCAAAAAAATAAGTTTCGATGCTGCGTCGATTCCAGTCAGTGGGGAAGTGTGGTGAAGCTACGCGAGCACGTTCGGTAAGTTTTATATTTGGTTTACACGTGAACTGATATAAATTATGTTCTTCGAAGCTATTTCTGCTAGTGTGCTTTTCTTGACCGTTAACTTAATACACCTTTTCACGGTCAGGCTCTCGCCATCTTAGTTGAGGGCAAACAAGGAAAAATTTGCAATGAATGTATGGTAAAAGTCGGGAGTTTTATGCGCTATAATTTGAGGATCTTTTAGGAAAGTTGACATTCTGACATTTCTAAGATTTACCAACTAAATCTGAAAAAGATTATGGTCTCAAGACTTCAGATGAACCATGGAAAATACTTACTGGAAAGCAAATTACCATGAAGTTGAGTTCTGCCTCTTCCGAATTTTGCGGCTCGACTAGAAGCATGTGCAAAGTGATGTCAGTAAGTAAATTTATCGAAAAATCTTTTACGTAATACCAGATACTTTCATTTTACAAGGTTGCAGACTATTTGATTAGTCAAATCTGTATTGTCGGAAGAAACATTATAAGCTCTGTTTTGAAGCTGCATCGAAAACTTTTTAAACGTGAAGTCCCGCATCTGTTGCGATTGCAGAACAACTATATTTAATAAGTAATTCATTTTTTCATGCCACAACGCTACTTTCTATAAACCACGAAAATTTTTTAAAGTAACACGGATTCGGATTTGAACAAAAATTAAGTCGGATCGACGGATCGGGCCAAAAAATACCACGGATCGGCGGATTTGCATACCCCTATTCACCCCCCTCATTTTAAGTAGCCCGCAAGACGTTGAGTTCAACCCTAAATTTTGCAAAAAAAAAAACGAGACAAATAGCGTTACACAGCCCGTCACGCCAGTGTTACCGATAGATATGCTTTAAACAATTTACTTAGACCCTGTTTACATGGAGTGGGGGACCCCGGCCTAGTGGGGTAAGTTTCTTTTGTTTTGTGTCCCCCAGAGCGTGAAAACAAAAGAAACCAACCTCACTAGACCGGGGTCCCCCACTCCATGTAAACAGGCCCTTAAAGGCAGATTAAAAGCCAATTCGAAATTAAATATTTCAGTAAACCTATTGTTCTCATTGATTGCAGCATTTTCTTCAGATACAACATATAGGGTCCCTGGGATAGCGTCACACACTTTCATGTTCAGTTTCAGACTGGCGATTTCCCTCAAAAAATGGTATTTAAACAGAACAAAATCTAAAAACTAAAACTGATTACTGAATGAATTTTTGCATTGAGAGATATTTACGAATTAAATTATCGCCAATCAATGCCATTTGGTTTATAAAAACTAATTTCCTTGAAGCAATTTTAAAGAATAAAAATATTTTAGACTAAGTATTGGTGCAATAGTTCTTTTCGAGGTTTTTGCCCTTGCGGGCTCTCAAAACTGAAAAAAAAAGCTACGTGGATGCCAAAGACGAGCATATACTTGTATGACAACGTGTATGAATCATGAAGCTACTGCGTGACTATATACATGACCCATTAAAACAAACACTTTAGTACTTTGTCAGGCTTACCATTAACTCAGGTTGCTTTCGACGTTTCAGTGGAAAATTCCTGAAACAAACGGGACGTCTGAGAAGGCATTCGCCTATTTTCCTGGTTGTAAACTTCCAGGCGCAAGTTCGGATTTCATGTCTTCAAACCCTTTTTGAATATTAGTTTCAGGCTTTTGCGGCCGTTTTTCATTAAACGAAACTGACTTAGGAAAATGGTAAACGCGATTACCGAACGGAATCAAAATTAATCAGTCCTGAATTCTCCTCATCATTTGCCCAAACCGTGAAGCGACCGGTTTACCCATGTAAATAGTCGAAGGAATGGTCTGGAGCAAAACAAAATGGTCGTTCCCTCTTGTCTGGAGCAGACGGGGCGCGGCGGGGGAGGGGGGAGGTGAGTGAGACTGGGGAGAGAATCGAAAATAAGTCTAAAAAATAGGATAGAAAATGACAAAGAAAAAATGAAAGAAAGGAAACAAGAAAGAAAAAAAATCGCAGTCTAAAAGCAGTTGAAAAGTTAGTACTACCAAATCTGTTCCTGCTGATCAATAACAATGCGCCAACAGTGCTCGACGCTCAAGTTGAATACCGTATTTATTCGAATAAGCGCCCAACCTCGAATAAGCGCCCATCCTAAAGGCAGAAAATTTAATAAGTACCCACCCCCACGACACATCCCCCCACGCAAACTCAAATAAGAGATAATAAGAGACCCTCCCAAAGGCGGAGTTTTCTTCAGAGCATTTTACAGAAACCTTGCTTTGTTACATCTCCGCTTTTTGTTATTACCATTTATTTTTTTGGTGTAAAATAAACATACTACACTTGCTGAGAATGGCGAAAATTTAATTAGCGCCCAGCCTCTAACAAGCATCCACCTCGAATAAGCGCCCACCCTCAAGGTCCAAAAATTTAATGAGCGCCCAGGGCGCCCATAAACATTTGTAAATGAAGGACGTAGTTAACCTGTAACAGGCCTTCAGGTAGTTAGGAAAACGCAAAGAAAAGTGGGCTAGAAAATATGGCGAAGGGGCGGGGTTAGGAAGAGGGGGCGAAAGGTCCTCCTACTCTCTCCCTCTTACTCTCTTCCACGTTTGTTTTCCTCCGTTCCCCATTTCGCGCCACTGTCTACTATCCACTATCCACTATTCACTGTCCACTACGCCTGGAATAGGCTAGTTCATAGTGGGCCAGAGAGTTTTTTTCCAATGGCGATGCAAGGGATCTATATATAGATGTCCATTTAGGAGCATTTGCCATTTTTAAAAGCTCATGATCACGCTGCAACTATTCCTGCTTTAGTATTAGTAAAACGCCACTTTTTTCTATTTTCCGTTTTGCTGTAGAGGAAAGTTTTTGGTGATTTCTTTTTGATGATCGTGTTTCATCGTCGATCGAAACGAGT